CATATACTCCAAAGAATTGAAAGCAGGGACTCAAACAGGTCCTTGTACATCAATGTTTATTTTAGCTTTATTCACAATATTCAAAAGGTGGAAACAACCCATGTGCATATCAATAAATGAGTGGATAAAAAAATGTGGCTTATACATACAATGTAATACTATTCAGCCATAAGAAGGAATGAAATTGGGGTGCATGCTACAACATGAGTGAATCTTAAAACATTATATTAAATGAAAAAAGCCAGACACAAAATGACAGCTATTGTATGATTCCACTTATATGAAATATCTACAAACATTTGTTGAATTAATTTGCTGCATGGATAAGACAATAGATGAAAATCTGGTTGTTAGTAGAGATTCAGAGAAAGAAACTTTCCTTAGGTAAAAAAAAAAAAAAGAAGAAGAAGAAGAAGGGAGGAAAAGAAAATTAGGAAAACTTGTAATGATATTAAATGATAATAAAAAAACCCCAGAAGGTTGTTAAGCATTTATAACCTTGGAAAAGTTGCTCTTGTAGAGGACCTAATGTAAGTCAAACCCTTAATGCACTGTCATACTCCCCCCCGCCAAATATTTCTAAAGCATGAGTTGAGAAAATTACTAAAAATGTTTTTGCTTCAATATTAAACAAATAAAAGACTGGCAGTAAGTATAGTTGCAAGGTAGTTACTAAGGTAGGAAGGAAAGAAAGGAGGGGAGGGAAAAAAGGGAGAAAGGAGAAAGATGGGCACATGCAGGAACAGTGAATGATTTTTCTTCCAGAGTTTGTTCATATGTTTTGAAAACTGCGAAATGAAGAGTATCACTGCTACTTGTGAAATGGGGATAATGGTAAGTACCTCTCAGGGTTGCTGTGAATCTTAAATATGATCACTTGGAAGAATTCTTCGTGAGTAGTAGGCACGATGTTTCTTATAGTGTGAATTTCAACGTTTGTCATTAGAACTGGTGAACTTACTGTACATAGTAAAGGTCTGGTGTATATTTTGGAGGCTGGGAAGAAACATAGAAATTAATAATGTTGTAGGTAACTTGTATTTTTATGTTCCCAGCACATATGGCCTCCTCTGCCTTCTGGTAATAAGGGTGGCGTGAGCAAAAGTCGGGTCACAGTTCTTCTCCAGAGTTTTAAGTGGCCCTGGCAGAGAAGAAACACTTTTTCCTCTGTTGTGAAGTTGTGGAAATATGTTCTAGAAGTGGGGTTGAGAGAGGCCCTTGTACAGAAGTTATCGGAGACAATAGAGCTGATGCTCACTGAAAGCAAAGATGGAGATGCATCCAGGTTCATCTCCCCTTTCCTTTCATGTTTTATATGATCTAATATGGTCTATTTGGTTTAAGATAGTTCAAGTTGGGTTTTTATCTCTTGCAACCAAGAAAGTCTTGATAAATACAAAAACAATTTTGAAGTACTTACATTAATTTATAAGTTGTCTGTTAAGGGTGTCTTTTTTAACTTTGGAAGCAATGATGTTATCTATCATTTGTTTATAGCTTTTACCTTATCTGTGTGGTTTATTTTAATTTGAAAAGCCAATTTAGAAATATCACAAGATTCTTCTTCATGTTAATTAATATAGAATACATAAAAACACATAGTTTTTTAGATACTATTTTGTAGCTTTCTATAACCGCAGTATGTGCATTATTTATTTAATGTCTTCAGTAGAGTAACAGTAGCATGCTTAAATGTAATCCTATAAAGTATAACATTTAAGGGAGTGCAGAGATTTCAGCTGAATTTCAGTTTGGCTTTCCCTCATGGAAATATGATCCTTGTAGGAATTCCCCATGACACAGCAAAATGATTTAAGAGGTAATTTAGAAAAAGAGTTTTTATATTACACTAACACACTGTAAAAGAAAAATGTCAGACTTCCTGGATCCAAATGATGGCAGCCCCAGACACTCTAAAAGAACCAAAAATTTGAGAGTCTGTCATATTGACTTTGAAAGCTAAAGCAGTAAAATAGTTTTTCCCTAGATAGAAACTTGATTATTTTATTCATCTCAAAAAATAAGTAATACTTCTAATTATTATTAACTGTTTTATTGAAGTATAATTTCATACCATAAAATCCACCTGTTTTTAGAGTAGAATTCAGTGATTTTTAGTAAATTTACATAGTTGTGCAACCATCACCATAACCTAAATTTAGAACATTTCTATAATCCTAAAATGATCATTTGTGCCTATTTGCAGTCACTTCTGTTTTTATCTCAAGTAGATTACTCTTTTGCTAATCTACCTTCTCTCTCTATTGATCTGCCTTTTCTGGACAGTTCATGTAAATGGAATCACACAACCTGCATTTTTTCGGTATCTGACATTTTTCATTGACATAACATTTTTGAAGTTCATGTTGCAGCATGTATCAGTAATTTATTCCTATTTATTGTTAAATAGTATACCATTAATGAATATGCCACATTTTGTTAATCTACTTATGAACCGATAGACCTTTTGGATCATGAAGTTTTTTGCTATTATGAATAGTATTGTTACAAATATTTACCTAAAAGTGTTTGTGGGAATAAACATTATAAATTCTCTTGGGTAGATGCCTAGTGTGGAAATGAAGGGCTTTACGTTCACTTTATGTTTAACTTTTTAAGTAACTGCCATTTTACATTTTACATTCCCATTAGTGAAGTATGAGGGTTCCTATTTCTCCATATCCTTGCCAACATTTATTATTGTCTGTCTTTTTGATTATTGCCATTCTAGTGGATGTGTATAGTGGTATCTCATAGTTTTAATTTGCATTATTTAATGGCCAGTTACATATCTTCTTTGGTGAAATGTCTATTCACATGTTTTGCCCATGTTCAATTGTTTTTTTTGTATTGTTGTTATTACCAATTATTTTAATAGTTCTCTGATATTGAACAGGTCTGATATCATCATGATCAGAATAGGTGGGAAATCTAGCAAATGTCCAGGTTTCTGTACATGTACTGCAATGTCTATGTAACTAAAATAGGGGAAGGTATTTAAATGTTTTGTTGTTGTTGTTGTTACATAATAAAAGAGGCATTTGTCAATAGTGGAATTTTGTAGAAATTTGTAGAAATTTAGGAGTGCGTGGAGATGCTGAAAAAGCTGAATTTCCAGCATGCATCATCATGGTCAAGAAGAGCAGGCATCTTTGTTATTCTTTACAGGAAAGCAGTCTTGGAGAAATACCAGTACTCTTCCCCAATTCCCTTAATCCATAGACACTGATTATTGAATACCCACCAGTTCTACCTTAGTTTGAAATGTTCCTAGATTTTATTTGGCTTATAATTTGGTGATTCATTAAGAGAATTATGGAGCAACTTTTCAATTATTTATCATTGTTAAATGCCGATTGTGAAATGCTTTATTAATGTAGGAGGTCAGGACATGTGATATAGTCTGTTCTATTTATGTACAATTCATTTATAACACTGGAAGTTAGTTATGGGAATTTAAATTTAAATTTCGATTTTTAGTTCTTTGAAGGATCATTGATAATCTCCTCCAAGATTCAGATTTTGCTAGATAGGGCAGTATATAACTTCTGGAGCTTCGATTTCTTAGGTCTGAGGTGGGGCCTGAGGATCTGTTTTCGTGAGTAGAGCTTCAGGTGATTCTCAGGATCAGGCAAGTTTGCAAAGCACTGGTGTGGTAGAAAGAGCAGGGCTTTAGAATCAAATAGACCTGGGTTTTAGTCTCATCTCATTTAATTGCTAGCTGTGCGTTTTGGGGGACATATATTACCTTCTTAAGTTTTAATTTCCTTTAATAATAGTACTGACTTTAGAGCAGCAGTCCCCAACTATTTTGGCACCAGAGACCTGTGCTCCTAGGAGAATCTAATGCTTGGCGATCTGGGGTGGAGCTGAGGCAGTGATGCTAGCACTGGGGAGCAGCTGCAAATACAGATGAAGCTTCGCTCACACTCACCACTCACCTACTGCTGTGTGGTCAGTTTCCTAACAGGCCATGGATAAGTAGTGGTCTGTGGCTTGGGGGTTTGGAGACCCCTGCTTTATAGGATTTTTGAGAAGATTAAAAGAAATAACATATATAAAGAACAGGACCCATAATAAATATACAACAAACATTTTTTATTGCAATTGTTCCATTTAACAACAATAATTAGACAAATTTGAGCACTTAAGGGCAATGATGAAGAAGACTCATTTTGTCCTCAAATGTACCCATTTAGCAGTGGGGTGGAGATGAGCTTTACAGCAAAGGCAATGTTATGTCATCAAATAAGTTCAGGGTCATTGTTTATTTTTTTGAAGAATGACATGCGCAGACATTGCTAGAATAGAGATGTGGGGTGAGCATGTGGGGTGGAGTAGGGTGGGAACTAAGAACAATAAAAACCCAAAGGCAGGAAATGACAAATCATCTTCAGTAAACAGTAAACAGTCCCATTGGTCTCTTTCATATGGCAAACTTAGAGCAGTGTCAAGAGATAAGGATAGAAAGATAGGCTGAGTTTTGAGAGATTTAAGCAGTTTGGCTTGTTTCAATTAAAGATTTTGAACGCAGTAATGATTAACCGGGTAATAGTGTGATGGTAAGAACTGGGAGGATCTGAAATTAGAAGGTTGCTTCAAAAGTAATAGTAATTCAATAGAAATTAAAGGTTTGATAAGTAGGAATTTATATCTCAAAATGAAATGCAGATGCCTAAAAGACATCTGAAGAATGCTGCGTATAATTCCTATAGTCCAGGTAAAAAAATTATTAAAATATAAAAAATATTAAAGAATTTCCGTAATAAATATATATTTTTAAGGCGAGTCCCTTCCTTCAGTAGCTCTTAACTTTGAGAGCCAAGAGGTGGTGGGGGAAGGGACAGAGCAGCGTCCCTGGCGAGAGGGGGCGTGTGCAGACAGAGCAGGCACCGCAGCGGGAGGGGGCGTGTGCAGAAACAAGGACGCAGGCGGAGGTGCGCGGCAGCTCTAGGGTATCGCGAGAGTTGGGCGGGCCGAGCCATCGCAGCAGTCAATTCCCCCACCCTCCCGGGAGGAGCGGCCAGCCTTGGGCTCTCCAAATTCTGAGCTCTCATCATGGCGGCGGCGGCGGCGGCGGCGGCCGTCGGGGGGCCGCAGCCGCCTCAACCCGAGCTGCCCACGCCCGGACTGGCCCTGGACAAGGCGGCCACCGCGGCGCACCTGAAGGCAGCCCTTAGCCGTCCGGACAACCGGGCAGGTGCTGAGGAGCTGCAGGCGCTGCTGGAGCGAGTGCTGAGCGCCGAGCGGCCGCTGGCCGCGGCTGCGGACAGCGAGGAGGCGGCGGCTGCCAGCAGCGGAGGCGGTCCGGGGGCGGCAGAAGAGGAGGCCCTGGAGTGGTGTAAGTGCCTTCTGGCGGGCGGCGGCGGCTACGATGAGTTCTGCGCGGCAGTGCGGGCCTACGACCCCGCGGCGCTCTGCGGCCTGGTCTGGACAGCCAATTTCGTGGCCTACCGCTGCCGGACGTGCGGCATCTCCCCCTGCATGTCGCTGTGCGCGGAGTGCTTCCACCAGGGTGATCACACCGGACACGACTTCAACATGTTCCGCAGCCAGGCCGGGGGCGCCTGTGACTGCGGGGACAGCAACGTGATGCGGGAGAGTGGGTGAGTGGAGCCTTCCCCTGGGGCGGGGGTTACGGCGGGCGCCCCAGGCCAGGGTCTAGGGAGGCCGGGAATGGGGACCCTGGAGCCGATTCTGAGCTGTCAAGGGAGAGGAGTGGGGGAGGGTGCAGCCACATGGGGTTGGAGGTGTTTGAGCTGTCAGCGGTGGAAAGGGGGATGGGGAGGAGGGAAGATCGGAGAGCTTGTTTAGGGGACAGGGCTGTGAATTTGCGAGGAAGCCAGGGCGAGTGAGTGATAGCGAGAGAAGAGCCAGTGCATAGGGTAGCAGGAGAGGGAGAAGGAAAGGATACTTGGGGAATCTGGTGTCGAGCTGTCAGTCGTGTACTTGTTGGGAAAGGCTGTAAAGCGGCTTGGTTCTTGGGAAGAAATAATGATGTGATTTGGATTGGCTGGGAAGGCGAAGGTATTGGGGACCAGATTTGGTCGCGGGATGATGAGAGTCCGGGAGGCGGTCTTGGAACTGCAGGAGAGGGAGGACAGCTTGAGGAAAAGGACTTCTGAACTGTCAGTGTGTCTCAGTACGAGGGAAGGAGCTCTTGAGCTTATGGAGGTTGAGGGAGGAGGGAAGGGGAGGGGCCTGCATGAAAAGTGACTGTTGAGCTGTCAGTGGAGTATTTGGTGTGCTGGAATGACATCTAGAATTGGGCTACTGAGCAGTCAATTATAGAATACCCTCCATACAAGAACAAACAAAACACTAAGCGAATTAGGAATCAAGTGTTAGCTTTTCTCCAGTTAAAAGGGCGCCTTATTCACTGACTAATATGTGACATCTTTCTAAAAGGAGACACTCAACAAAAGCTTTTTCAATAGGAGCAGTGTTGCGACTTAGGACAAAAGACATTTCAGAGGTTGCAGTGAGTTAAAGAGTTGGTAGATGTGGTGTCTTGGCTTGGGACATGATCTTCATGCCTAAGGAAGTCCTAGAGAAAGAAAAAACTTAGTGAAAGAGAGGAGATTTTAGCTGGGCAGTAGTTGAAAGAATGTTAGCAAATCCAGTTATTCAAGTTTTTCAGATTTTAGCTCTTATAATTGTAGAGCGTAATCCCTTTAGAAATGGTCACTACTTCCTTCTTTGGAGTAGTTGTAGGTTACTGTTACTCTAGAATGTTTGTAACTAGATGCAAACAAGGTTCCTAGGATATTAAAAATGAACAAGACATGGACCTACCCCTTAAGCCGCTTACACTGGAGTAGAAAATGATAAATTCCTTTAATAGTCCAGCAGTTAGAGGAGGCTTCCGTGCAGAAGAAAAAGACTTCAGAATGGAGGTATTTTGAGGTTACTACTACTAATAGGATTACTAATAACAACAGTAATGACTGCAGCTAATATTTGAGAGCATAAAGTGTAAGACCAACACTTAAAAATACTTTTTAAAAATTAATTTTTGAATAGACAAAATATATAGATAAAAAAGCAAAAAAATAAAAAGTAAAAACACACAGTTTGTGAAGTTTCCCTCCAATCTTGTCTCCCATTCTGCCTAGTTCTTTCCCACCACTGTTAGTTTCTCTTAGTTTAAAAACCAACAAAGATGAAAATATATTTTGATTTTTCATTCTCTTTTATGCAAAAAAAACCCATACCACATTCACTGTTTTACACATCTTGCATTTTCCCCTGATCTAAGAGGTCTTTAGATGTCAGTAAATCAGTGTACTCTATTTAGTAAAACAAAACTGCTACATGGTGCCCTGTGTCATGAATTTGCCTTTATTTAATCATGGAAAGTTGGGTTTTGAGGGACAATTGGGTTTCTAGTATGAAATAAAAAACCTGGTATACTTGTCTTTTCACACCTGTGCAAGAATATCAATGGGATAAATTCTCAAAAGTGTGATTTCTGATTTGCTCTCCATAAGACTAAGTATTAAGCAGAGTATGAGACTCTTGTTTCTAACTGCCTTACCAACAGCATTATTAAAACTTTGGATTTTTATTGATTTATTGGTAAACAGTGGTCAAATATTGACTGCTTTAAATGGTTTAATTCATGTAATCTTCAACAACTAAGATTATTACTGTTGTTATTCCCATTGTACAGAAGAGGAAAGTGGAGCACAGAATTTTAAAAAACTTGCTCGGGATTACGCAGATAATAAGTTAGGCATGCTGGATCCAGAGCTTGACCACTCAACATTTCTCTCTACTGCCTCTACAGATAGCATTCTTATTGGTACTTCTATTAATGTGTTTTGTCTTTGTCTTTTTCTTTTTTTTACTATGCCATTCTTATTTGGGCCTTTGTTTCTTTTTTCTTTTTAAAAACTTACGTTTTTAAAAACTGTAGGAGGCACTTCAGAACATCCGAGAAGGAGTTGAAACATTCTTTTATTGATATTTAGACATTTTTACTTCTTAGTTTAATTTAGCTCTTAAGAGAACCTCAAAGATCATGAAAGTAGGAAGTAATATTGCTTCTATCCTGCATTTTAGAACATAGTGGTAATTATCAGGTTGATCTGAATGAGAGACAAATCTGATATCTAATTGTGATGCTTCCGTGCAGGGGTGGAAATAGGTCAGTAAGTTTCTTTGAAGATACTCATACAGGTTTAGGGCATCTGGGCTGTAGATAGTCTACGTCCTAATATCATAGCTTTGCCTTTACTGACATCTCATATGCATGTATTTATTTTTTTACCCCAGTTTGGCAACCCTCTATGAGTTGATGTATAGTATCTAAAGATTTACTATCTTTCTGAAATACAGAACTGTTGCCTGTATGTGCCAGCAGTTTCCATATCCAGTTTCAAAAAGGCCAAGAATGAACAATAAACAGTATTGTAGTTACATGATTATTCTGAAATATTTACAACTCTTTGGGTTGGATAGATTAAGTTTTCTAGGCTACATACCTAATCTACTGCTTTGAAAGACAGGTGATGTTAACCAACAGTGCAGGTTAAAAGGCTGCCTCTGGGGAGGGGGTGGGGGGAAGCCCACCTCTGGAACCTTTTTAGAACTGGAAATCATCAACAAATTCTATCAGTGTTCTTGGTTGGCAAAGCTGGATTATCTTGGCATTGACAGAATATATTTAACTTTTCTCAGTTTTTGACATTTCTGAAAATCCTTTTAGGTTACTAAATATTGGAAATGTCTTGACTTTGGGGTTGTTTGTTATTCTAACAGCCATAGAAGTTTGTAAATCTCATTGTTCAGTAAATTTTTAAGGAAGGATTCCACTTTTCTCTATATCTGTGTTCTTAGTAACAAAGGAAATCCTGCAGCGCTTTAACCCTTTTCCTGAGTGTTTGACTGTTGTGGGTGTGATTGGAGATGGGGAAGAATCTTGGAATCATTACAACCTGTATTACTATTTAATTTTCAAATTTGTGATTATGGACCTATTTGGGGAAGAGTCAGTTATTTTTGATTAGTAGTATCGATATAATAAATGTGACATTAACACATATACAAAGCAAAGGAAGAAACAACTGAGAATTCATTTGTGAGATGAGATCACAAAGGCTATGGAAACTATATATTAATTGTATATATAATATCATAGTTTTGCCACTAATGAATAAGTGCACTCATTGTCACAAATAGTTTATAGATGCATGAGCCAAAAAAAATGTAATGGAAAATGTAAAATAATGTCTGACTTGTTTGGGATTCTGATGGTACTAACTAGAAATTGGAATTTTAAACATTTAGTTCTCAAATTTTGATACAAAGGATGACCATTTTCATGTTCAATCCTGTATTATAGATATATTTGCCTCCTTGCTGGTTCTCTCTCAGATTCTAAGCTTTTTAAAAAATAGGAACCTTGTCTTACTCTTAATCACAGGCCAGCACAGTCTCTTGCACTTAGTAGGTGCTTAGTAAATGTGGAATTAAACTGGGTAAAGTAGTGGCTGTTATACCTGAAAATTTGTCCTAAGATTACATTGCTTTAGTTTTTCAGGTATTGATTATTAAATCCATAACATCTTTTTTGAAAGTACTTCATAGATAATTTCTTTCTTAATTTCAAAAGTAATAGATATTGTTTATAACATAAAAACAAATGGATAAAGTAGAAAATAAAGGTTCCTCTTTCTTCCATCCTACTCCTCAGTGAGAGACTCCCCTTACTTTCTTTTGGGCTTAGTTATACATTTAAAAGATGTTAATTATAATTTACTTAGCATTTGTAGATACTTTGTTATGAGAAATTTTTAGGTTATGTGGTCTGTGGCAATGCCAGAAAAGGAAGCAGTGAGTGTTCGGTTGAATTTCTGTACCTTGCCTTTTCCCCTTTAACATATTTATTGTACAGTGTGTCTTATTAGTATACATAGAATGGTTTTTATTTTTTATTTTAAAATTAAATAGTATTCCCTTGTATTTTCATATTTTTGTATTTTACTGTAATTTACATAGTCAGTTCTTTACTGGTAAACGTTTAGATTGTTTCTAGTCTTGGGCCATTATCTTGGGCTATTATATGCATTGTTGCAGTCAGTATGCTTCTATATACTTCTTTGTGTTTATGTGTGAGCATATGTTGAGGATAAATTCCCAGAAGTTATATCTTGGTTAAAGGAAATGTTCATTTGAAACTTTGATAGAGCCATCCAAAGAAATTAATTTACATTTCCACCAACAGTGTATAGAAGAGTGTGTTCCTTCACGTTGTGGCTAGTATACAAACATAATATCACGTTGTGGTATTATCAGTATTTCTGATCTTTGTTGATCTGATAAGGGACAAGTGATATCTTATTTCATCTGTTACTCCTCTCCCCACTGCCCTCCTCTCCCATACTGGAGTATTTTGAAACAAATCTCAGGTGTCTTATAACTTAATTTATAAATAATTGAGTATGTATCTCAGTAAAGAGATATGAACTCTTAAAAATAAAATATAATGCAAGTATCCTTTGACAAATGAATTGATTTACAAAATGTGCTATATACATAAGATGGAATATTATTCAGTCTTTGAAAGGAATGAAATTCAGTCCAGATTCAAGTTGGTAGAGTA